CGAGGCCTGCACCTCGCACCGTTTCTGGGTCCACGTGCAGGTCCGAAGCGACGCCTGTCCCGAAAAAAAAATAAAAAATCAGGCCCGGACTCTTTACTTTCTCGCTATTTCGAAGTCACCAATCGACGGGAGGCAGGGCTGCACGGGAAAGGAATAGCACCCTAACCCCCGCCGGCATGTTCATTGCGCATCCGCGCGAAACCGTGAGCCCGGCGAAGCGTCATTCCTCCTCCTCCCTCCATTGCGGCCTGCACTTGCGCCATTGCGAGCTGCGAGCTGCGCGTGACGGTGCCTTCTTCTTTCAACAACACCTTAACACAGCGCCTTCTCGAGCCGCCTTCCCACGGTGCCTTTGAGCAGCTGTGTGACCTCTTCGGGTGCCTTTGCACGGTGCTTCCTCCCAGCCGAGCGCCTTCTTATTGCACCGTGCCTTCGAGCAGCCTTTTGAACAACAAACAGGCTAGCTGCGAACCTCAGCAGTCGTCCAGGGGCCTTCACGCGGCAGCGGGCGGGCACAAAGTTGTCGTCACCTTCGAGAAGGTGAGGTTTCTTCGCCTACCACTTTTAAGCCCTCAAGGCTTCGGTCCGAAAGCTGTTGGTTTTTTAGTGTTTTTGTTGTAAGGAACCTTGCAGGCCGTTTTTTTTGTTTTAAGGTCGGGCGGCGATTTCTTTCCATGGCATTACGTATCTTTCGCCATTCCACGTCCGCAGTTGTTTTCCATTCGTCCAGAAGAAGTGTGTCGCTTTTAAAGGTCTTATGTTTTGAAAAAGGTCATTGTTTTTAAAGGTCGTATGTTTTCAAAAAGGTCTTTGTTTTTAAATGTCCATTGTTTCGAAAAGGTAATTGTTTTTTAAGGTCTCACGTTTGCTTACCCTTCATTTCAATAAATATGTCGGTTCTGGTAAAAGAGTACATGGGTTGCACGAGTCGGTATTGTTCGGGGAAGACGCTGCTTGAAACAACTTATGTTACGGAACACACATATAAGGAGCTTTGTTTATGTTCCTCTCACTTTGCACCTATGTTTCATAAACGACTTTCTGTTATGGAACATTCAGGCTCGCACAGTGGTCAGCGGCTGCCAAGGGTAATGTCTACGGTCACCTGGAATGGAACCGTGCAATGCTGTGGCCCGGCGTCCCAAAGGAGCCGGCAAGAGCTATCGCATGTGCACGACGTTTCGGGTCGGCGGACCATACCATGTCTACGCCGACGCCTTCTGTACACGGACCATGCCACGGCATGGTCCGGCGCCTCCGGGACGTCGGACCATGGCACGGTGTCGTCCTGTGGGCTCGGGGACGGCGGACCATGCCATGGTGTGGTCCGGCGGCTCGGGGACGTCGGACCATGCCATGGTATGGTCCGGCGGCTCGGGAACGCCGGACCGTCCCACGGTATGGTCCGGCTCGGAGATGCCGGTCCATGCCATGGTATGGTCTTGCGGGCTCGGGGACGGCGGACCATGCCATGGTATGGTTCGGCGGCTCGGGGACGCCGGGCCGTGCCATGGTATGGTCCGACGACTCGGGGACGACGGACCATGCCGTGGTATGCTTCGGCGGCTCGGTGACACCGGACCATGCCGTGGTATGGTTCGGCGGCTCCACGATGCCGGACCATGTCACGGTGTGAGGAAACCCGGGGAGGGGTCGTCCATCATTCGCTGAAGCCAAGGGCAACAGCGCCTGTTACTCGCTGCGCCCGCTTCCGAGGTCCTCAGTGACCAGCGGGGTGATGGGTGTTTCTGCCCGTCTGTCACGCTTCCTTTTGAAGTCTGTTGTTAGACACCATTCTTCGTGTGCCGAGAGGAAGAGAAGGGAATTAGGATTCAACTGGATATTTGTTGTTTCCTAGATCTGGGATCAGTTTGGCCAGGCTCGGAACAACTAACTAGTCAATAACTCTTTTCCAATAATTACTCGAGAGTGGCTCGAGAGCCTGACCACAGGCTCGGAACAGCAAACCAATCAATAGGCTTTTTTCTCCAATAATTACTCGAGAGACGCTTGAGAGTCTGGCCACAGGCTTGGGACAGAGAACCAATCAATAGGCTCTTTTGAGTCTTTTCCAATAATTACTCGAGAGTGGCTCGAGAGCCTGGCCACAGGGTCGGAACARCAAACCAATCAATAGGCTCTTTTTCCAATAATTACTCGAGAGTGGCTCGTGAGCCTGGCCACAGGCTTGGAACAACAAACCAATCAATAGACTCTTTTTCCAATAATTACTCGAGAGAGGCTCGAGAGCCTGGCCACAGGCTCGGAATAGAGAGCTAATCAATAGGCTATTTTGAGTCTTTTCCAATAATTACTCGAGAGTGGCTCGAGAGCCTGACCACAGGCTTGGAACAACAAACCAATCAATAGACTCTTTTTCCAATAATTACTCGAGAAAGGCTGGAGAGTCTAGCCACAGGGTCGAAACACCAAACCAGTCAATAGGCTCTTTTCTCCAATAATTACTCGAGAGAAGCTTGAGAGTCTGTCCACAGGGTCGGAACAGCAAACCAGTCAATAGGCTCTTTTCTCCAATAATTACTCGAGAGAAGCTTGAGAGTCTGTCCACAGGGTCGGAACAACAAACCAATCAATAGGCTCTTTTTCCCAATGCTCTCTTTCCCTCTCTCTCTCTCTCTCAGTGTTGCCTGTTGCTCTTTCTCTCTCTCTCATGCACTCTCTCTCTCACGACACACTCTCTCTCTCTCTCTTACTGCACACTCTCTCTCTCTCACTCACTGCACACTCTCTCTCCCAGTGCATACACTCTCTCTCACTGCACACACTCTCTCTCTCACTGCACACTCTCTCTCTCTCTCTCTCTCTCTGCACACTCTCCCTCTCCATCTAGCATCCATTTTCCGTGCGCCCAACAAGCAGATTTTCACCATCAGTGGGTGAGATGTTTCTGGCCATGTGGAAAGATAGATATAAAAGATAATCACAATAGTAAAAATAAATGACAATAATAATAATAATAATAATAATGAACACTCACCATTTTCTCCTTTCCCACACATATGACCCTCCGCACTCTCTCTCAATATCCCTTACTTATTCTCTCACTCCCTCTTCATCTCTCACACTGCACAGTCCCTCTCTCTCACGCTGCACAGTCCCTCTCTCTTGCGCTGCTCAGTCCCTCTCTCTCACTCTGCATTGTCTCTCTCTCATGCTCACACACTGCGCAGTGTCTCACTCTCTCACTACTTAGTCTCTCTCTCTCTCTCTCCCACACACACAGACACTGCTGCCATAGCTTCCGTTGACCATGAGCAGCTTGGAACCACTGCGCTCCACGAACAGGTACGTTCACTGCGTTCCCTGCCGTTGCTTCCCCTGGTGCACCCCGTTGCAGCGCATTCTGGTCACACTGGTCGCCCGCTCTAGTGCGCCCGCCTCTTCGCCCTGGTCACCCCGCTGTCCAAATGTCCAGTTCCCCCTAGTCGCCTGCTACGTGGGCGGGGAACGCCTTGCATGTTGCTCCCAACGCGTTGACCTGCCTGGATCCCAGTATGTTGTGCGCCAGGTACACCTTGCATGCTGTTCCCAATCTCTCCTCTGTTCCCCCCTATATTCATTCCACATTTGCTTGTACTGCCGAGACCGTCGGTACCAGGCCCAGCACAGGCTCATTACGGGTGGTACGTGAGTACCGTCCTCGGGTCAACAACTGGGCATCGTGGTACCAAGGCCCTTAAGGCCCAGGCGTGCCGCCTCCGGGTCAGTCCTCAGTTATCCCGTTCCGGTTCAGGCAGCCTGTCGTYCCGGAAATCTTCACAGATTGTCCGCTGTAACGCGCCATAGTGGTACCAAACCGGGTATAGATGGCCGCAGTGATGGTGCCGAGCCTGAGTTAATTACCTGTGATAGCACCGAACCTGGAATAACCTGCCGTCCAGGTTCCGGGCCTGAGATAGACCACCGTGGCAGTCTCCAGACTTGAAAATAAATCGTCCCGAAGCCGTAGAACCTGAAATAAGCCGTCGTGGCGGCGGCGTACCTGAAATAAGTCGCCACAGTGTCCCCAATAAATTGTCTTAATGGCACCGAACCTGACACATGCCACCGCGAGGGTGCCGAACCCGGATAATAGTCTGCCGCAGCGGTGCCTGAGCTGAAAAAAAATCACCGCCGAGCCTGAAAATAAATTACCACTAGGATCCCGAACCCGAAATACATCGTCATAGTGGCTCCAGACCTGAAGGTAAGCCTCCGTGACGGTTCCGATCCTGTAATAAATAGTCATGATGATGCTGAACCTGAAATAAATAGTTGTGATGATGTCGATCCTGGAAATAAATCACCCTGGTGCCCGAACCTGAAGTACGCCGATTCCGGCTCAAGCCGATCGTCAAACATGTCCGGTACCGAACCTGTCATCATGCCGTCGGCCCAATGTAACACGACCCCACGCTGTCCATATCCATGCGGGCATCGTCCGTTCCGCAGGGTTCAGTAAGGTTAGCAGTCAGGTAAATAAGAGACACATCATAGAGAGTTTCGATCAATGGGGGATAGTAAAAAAAAATTGAGCTCAGGGAATTTGATCAAATTGGGGTTCTGAGCCGACGACGGGTATCCCAAGCAAAAAACGGGTCAGGCATCGAATAATCATTAGCTCCTGTTTGTTCCACCCTTTTTTAATCGTTCTCCCTTTTCCTTAACTCTATTGTCTGAAATAGTGAATTAGCCGTAGGTTCTCCAAAAATGCATTCTGAGGGAGTTTAATSAAATGGTTGAAATTCCCTCTTTTCTTCTCTCCTTTACCATTCTTAATCATTTTCTCTGGTTGTTATATTTCATTGCCGGAAACGTAAAATAACGAGGTATTTCCCGAAAATTTATATGCTGCGAAAGAATAGGGGAATTAAGGAATATTACGTTTTTCTCTTCCCTCCTACTGTTCCCAATCTTTTCTCCCATATTTAAATTAGGTACCAAAAATTGATAAAATTTGAGGCGCTACTCCAGCCCGATCATATGTTGCAAAAGCATTG